TACTTATTTAATTATTTAAAAGTTTAATTTAGACACTGTAAGAATATCACGTATTCAGTTTAAATCCGATGTATACCATTTCTTTATAAATAAATATAAATACAGAGGAAAAAATTATGAAATCGAAAAGACATTTTTGAATGCTATCTGTTATCATAAGTTACTAAACTGGATGGAAGGATATGAATATATATATCTAAACGCTCACATTTTAAATTGGATTTTCGGAAAATTATAACAGGCAAAAAACTAGCTTCTTCGTCACTTACATTAAAGAAATACAGGTTAACATTAGCATAACACGTATACCATTCGTGTCAAGCTTTAGACAACTTTACTTAACGACGACATCTAGACACATATTACAAACACCGAAGTAGAAGAAACAAAACGTGTTTTGTAATAACACTTATTGCAAAATTGCACTGTAAATTATTAGTACCAAAGCCTCAGCGACATTTTAAAAAGTAGAAAGGAAAACATAAATGATGTTACATTGAAATGCACAGATGTGATCACCCAGATGTATTAAATCAAATTTGCCACCAAAAAATTAGGCGTATTTCAAAACAAAGAGGTTAATTTAGTTTCTAGCTTTTGTACTAATTAACAGTTTTTTATCAGAAACGAGCTGAAAAACATGATTGAAAGACAAAGGTAAGTTGTTGTTTGAAGTTAAGCCCAAAGCTACACAATGGGCTATCTGTTCTCTGTCCGCTACAGGTATCGAAGCCCGGTTTCTAGCGTTGTAAGTCCACAGACATACCGCTGTGCTACTAGGGGGCGAAAGATTTTACAGTTTTATTCGCCTAAGTATTGTAACATAATTATATTATAATTCATAAAAGGCATAAAAGAAACATATGAATTTTGATAGAGTTTAAGGATCAAATTATTTTACCCAAGTAATTCATATAAAGATCCAGGAAAAACTGAAATATACCTAGTTTGCTCTACAATAGCCGATATGCCTTTAATATCACGTTGTAATTAGAGCCATGTTCCCGAGCAACGCATGTAATTTTACTACACTTGGTTACAACGATTATCGTAATTATAGCTTTATATATAATATAAATGTAAATATTCGAATGTTAGTGAATGGAACAGCCCTTATGGATGAATTATACTTGAATTACGTCATGTATTTCTACGAAACGATTGACTTGAGTTCTCTTGCTACAACCTTAAACAGATCACTTCGTTTGCCTTTAAACCAGAATTAGCTTGTTCTGAAGAAATGTGTCATATATTTATCTGGTATATTTACAAGATTAACTGATATAATTTGTCACTTAGTGATAAGTCAAGCAAACAGATTATCGTTCTCGTATTAATGACTTGTTTATATATATATATTTGTCATTGCAGTCTATTGAGTAATGTTATGTTTTGGACTGTTGCAACAGTGGAATGAAGTATACTGAGTAAATTCGGAGTGGATAACTCACTTTCCATGTATAATACATACGTAAAACTAGCAGCAATTAGTGGGATTAATTGAACTAACGATGATATGTTCCTTTAAATCTTTTGTGTGATTTGTGTTTATCAAAACATGTGTAACTAACAAAGTTCATAAACTCACGAGTAGTTTGGTGCATAAATAATTTTAAAAAGTGTAAAAAAGATCGATGCAGTCCATAGACCCCGTCGGTAATCCTGGGATTAATGAGCCCTACAAAATATAAATATGATAGGGGGAATACCTAAAGCATTTTTAGAGTAGTTGAATAAAAATGAGACACATTCCGTTCTGGGTTCTCGTTAAAACAGACCTTAAAATTCCACATGACAGTTGAGTTTTCAGGCACAGTTAACTGAATCTCAGGTTGATCCAAAAGCAGTTCCAGGTCTATTTCTTTATCTTCTCCGAGAACTGAAAGGATCACGGTACCACTGATGCTGGACAACAAAACAACTATTGCTAGATACCAAAAGGTGGAACCTGAAAATAGAGAATATTGAATATAATCAGAAAAACAAAGGTATACAAACATACACACAAAATAAACATTTTTTTTCTCTAATAAGTGAGTAAACATTAGTAGAACAGGCTTAAGAACGGTTTTTATTATTAATGTTGATAACATAAAAAATTACATTTACTTTAGAAACAAATATTTTCGTAAAGTATATAAAATAAGTGATGAAAATGTATAGCATATTCATCATAAAATGAAACTAATCCTTTTATAAATAAAATGCTACTCATAAGAAGCTATATTAATCCACCTTGCTAAACTTCAACTAGTTTCCTTATTAATTTCATTTAATTTCAATCAAATAATAGGGTAAAAAATAAAAGCATTTATGATAGTTTGAGAAGGGCAAACATCTAGTTTCTTTTTTTGCAACAAACATTAGCCTAACTTTTAATTTATTCTGGTTTTAAGCTTTTGAAACATGTGAAGATACTATTATACTGTACTCCCTTTTTTTTAGATGCTAAATTCCATATATCTGTTACGTTATCATGGTATAATTATACACGTATGAGCAAAACCACACGTAGGTATAGCCTTTATTCGCTAAAAAATCAGTCTTTTTACTAAAAATGAACACTGACTTTCAAAACAAGAGACATTATGTGGTGCAATAACCAAGCCAGATCAGCAAAATCTTTCTTTTATAAATACGTTAGCATACCTAGATTTTGAATCCGAGGGTTCATGATTCGCAAACCTCGCCGTAAAAACGCAATCCGAAATCTGGCGTCGCGGACGCGCTATAAAATTTATTGTCAAACCCCGCTATTTGGTCAGACAAGAGAAGCCCAGTGTTTGGTAGTGGTAGATGTTTTTGACTATCTGCTGTCCCTATAGAGTATCATTTCAAAATTAGGAACTCCGATTAGAGGTCAGATCTTGGGTAACTTTGCGTGAATTCAAACAAACAATCATACATGCTGTTTAAATGTTGTTATAAACATGTTCCAGTGCGCAAAAGGAAAGTCAGTTTTAGGATTGGACACTCGGTTACGATGTTCACAAATTAACAAACTATTTTTTTTCTCTCCTATTAATCTATTTTGAAATATAAAGAGGTTTGTTTATATGACATGTTAGAATGCAGTGTCTGTAGTTGTGGTACACTCGTTACTAGGTGGTCGCAATATTTTATATGTATAAACATAAAATCTATCGATCTGGTATTCGTTAAATTGATTATTTTCACTACTTAAAATGATTATTCTTAATTAGCTTTCAATGTATGATATAGTCCTTAAATACTAAAGCTGGCTCAACGACATTTTTTGAACTAACCCACGGATTAACTGACACATGTTGATTGATAAACACAATACATTATATAAAAAAACACATCTATTTGTCGTTATTTTACACTATATCAGTCCTTGATATCGTACAAGTGCTGTAGTTCAATACAGTGAGATTAAACAACAGGGAGTAGAAAAAGGAGTTATTTCGTTTTACACTTTATAACAGTTTCAGAGCTTGAATTGAAGGTTTTTACAACTTTACACCATAACGAGTTCACTTAGTAGAAGCATGAAATTACTACTCTCGTTAGCAGCAGAAAATGATAAATTAGACAATTCCTTTACTGCGGAGTAAATATATTAAAAACTAAGCTTGACTTAGCCTGTACACGTTTACCACACACACACACACACACACACACACACACTGGTTACATATTCGTTTAAAATTGAATGTTCAAGGAAATTGATCCACAAATGACAAGGGAATATTGTGACATTTTAGTTTATAGGTTACTAATCCCGAATCCCCCCCCCCCCACGTGGCACAGTGGTATGTCTGCGGACTTACAACGCTAGAAACCGGGTATCGATACTCGTGGTGGGCAGAGCACAGATAGCCATTGTGTAGCTTTGTGCATAATTAAAAACAAACACATGCAATAAAAATAAGCTTGAAATTTTATCCTTGATGCATGTGTCCCCCTAGTGTGTCAGCGGTAAGTTTACGGGCTTACAATGCTAAAATTCGTGTTTCGATTCCCCGCAGAGGACATGATGTAGTTAGTCCATTGTGGAGCTTTGCACGACGAAAACAACAATTAATGCATGTCCTTGAAGTGAAATTCAAATGTAACTATACTGTTAACGGATGTTTACAAAGTTCTTACCTTGATTCAAGAAGGTTACTGAAACATGCCAAAGGTTTTCTAGAAATAGAAATTTGCTGTCAGTTATTCTCTTTTGCTGTTGAAGGACTTTAGTAATGACCGAGGAGACGACAGCAATCAGAAGCATTGACAGTAAAAGACTTAACCATACCTAGATTAGAATAGGGAGAAAATACAGTTTTGATGTGGTTTGTTTAGAATGTTATGATCTAATAAAATTGATTTTGGCTTTATATATGCATAAACATTTAAACACATTTATTTTTTAACAATTTAGTTTTCAACTAAAAAGCGTCCTAAGGTTTTGTGCATTTTGTCAACTAAAGGGTGTCACAAGCTTTTGTGCATTTTGTCAACTAAAAAGCGTCCTAAGGTTTTGTGCATTTTGTCAACTAAAGGATGTCACAAGCTTTTGTGCATTTTGTCAACTAAAAGGCGTCATAAGTTTTTGTGCTGTTTTTCAACTAAAGGATGTCATAAGCTTTTGTGTAGTTTTTCAACTAAAGGATTTCATAAGCTTTTATGCGATTTTTCAACAGAAGAGTGTAGTAAGCTTTTGTGCGATTTTTCAACAGAAGGTTGTAGTAAGCTTTTGTGCGATTTTTTATCCAAAGGGCATCATAAGGTTGTATGGAATTTTTCAACTAAACGAGGCAATAAGCTTTCTTCTGTTTAATCAGATTATGTTAAATGCCTTGTTTGCTTCTTTTAACTAAATTATAATTAATCATAAGGTTTTATCATATTTAGGGTTAACTATATATGTTTATCTAGGTTATAAATACAATACTTTTCAAACGTTTTTCAGTAATAGTAAAGCTCTGGAGATTTTCTTTATAACCTAATAGTATGTTAATTCATCACACTTTAATAACTAAGGCAAATAAACTTTATTTTCATCACCGATTTTCACTTATTTTAATGTTTCAATGTAATCCTTCATTTCAATCTTCTTTTAATCTTACCTCCCAGTTGAAGATGTCCAAGAACCTCAGCTTCTGCCGTATAACACGAGTGTTTCCAAACAAAATTGATGTATCATCAACGTATAAAAATTCCGTAAAGTTAACCTTATAACCTTTTGCTTGTCTCGAAGAAAATGGTCCAAAAGCAATGTCTGTTTCCTATAAGTTATATGATAATCCGTTACTATGAAGTAGTTTATCAAAGTTTATATGTTAATCCGTTACTATGGAGTAGTTTATCAAAGTGTATATGATAATCCGTTACTATGAAGTGGTTTATCAAAGTCTATATGATAATCCGTTAATATTAAGTGGTTTATCAAAGTTTATATGATAATCCGTTACTAAGACGTGGTTTATCAAAGTTCATATGATAATCCGTTGTTATTAAGTGGTTTATCAAAGTTTCTATGATAATCCGTTACTATGAAGTGGTTGATCAAAGTCTATATGATAATCCGTTAATATTAAGTGGGTTATCAAAGTCTATATGATAATCCGTTATTACTAAGTGGTTTATCAAAGTTTATATGATAATCCGTTTTTATTAAGTGGTTTATCAAAGTTTATATGATAATCCGTTTTTATTAAGTGGTTTATCAAAGTTTAATACAACAAGAATAGTAAAGAATGTTATAACTTTCTTACTTATACTGGCTGTGAATGCACTTGAATGATTCGTTCATACCACAAGGACTATGTAATATGAGTTGTCCATTTTAACGCATCAGTTCTTAAATGGTGTTCCCTATACACGTACATAATTAAACGTCCCATAGTACATTATTGTGGTTATTTTATATCAGTAGTTTAATCCTAATCTTAAGTTCAATTTAACATTTTAAATTATTTTTCATATAAACACGAGGACATTCAGAAGATGTTAGAAACGAAAGTAATATGTTCCTTAATATGAATTAAGCGAAACAAATTGATCTTTTAAACTTAAAATTTAACAGAATGATTTGTAATAAATTAATTACATTGCGCAGCAACTTTGACACTTACGACATTTACGAAAGCTATTTAAACGTTGCCTTGATGTCATCTTTGCATAATCATACACATAAAGAAAACACAAAACTAGGAACATAGCAGTTTATTCTGCCTTCACGTACTTATCAATTTTCATAATATTCAACCATCACAATCAAGTATTGATAAATGAATATAACTTTTTTATAGAATAGTATTGTCACTGTTTGTAACTTGGTCTTATTTTCATGTTAACACTATTCGAGCTTAAATGAATTACAATAACATATTTAATAGGTTATGGAATACAGTAATATATGGAGTTAACATGTTGTTGTGAATCTTAGCTTGTTAATTTTAAAACCCTGAACACAAATATCAGTTATCTCGGTTTGTTTGTTTATAGATAATCACAAATCTATATAAGGAATTAGATGTGTTTTGCACACCACGGGTATCGAAACCTGATTTTTAGTGTCGTAAGCCTGCAGATTTACCGGTGATCAAATGGGGACCAGTTATCTCAGAGTTAAATAACAGCATTATTTTTTACTTTATTTAGGATATTCGGCAAATTTACTTTGAAAGAATTGACATTTTGTTCGTTTCTGTATCAGAATTTGTGGTTTTAGCTTATTTTCCTCTAGCTTTTTTTTATTTAAATAATTGTTTAAGTTTTAATTAAATCGTTGGCATTCTTACTATTATTCTAAACCTAAAGATATCTTAGCTGAATCCAAATCTTTGCAAAAACATTAATTTAGAATTTTAGTTTTGAATAAATTTTATATAATAGCAACAAGGAAGAGAGGGAACAAATCAGACAAATGTCCTCAAAATCTGCGTAACTTTTAAGGAAGGCGTGTGATTTTTTTATTGAATATATTGGATGAAAAAACTATTTGAAATCTTATCAAGAAGCTACTTTCTTTCTGGATTTTGACTTTTACATAAGTTATATTTTTTTAGAGTATCATCTACCAAATATTATTTATAACATCTCTTGGATCAATAACATCATTAGTATCTTATACAGTTAGAAGTTAAAAGAAAGTTAGTTCAAAGGGACATCAGCATTCCCCTTTGAAGAATTACTTAAAACGCAATCGCACATCAAATCATTCACTTTGAAAGTAAATAACTTAAGCAGATTAGTTATGAAAAACAGTTTTAGTTGATTCAAAGTGAATTAATCACCCATTGCATTATAAACGTGTATTTTCTCGTTAAAGGAGTAACAGAGAGTAATCTATGTTCTGTTAAGTTAGCTAGATGTCATGATGTTTTCCATAGAGTCATTTGGTAAAAATAAAGCATAATTTAAATATAAAATATTCAAAAAGCCATACCAACTTACCCCACATTCTAGGAGCTTTGACATTCGACCCCACGAGTCAATTTTGTCTCCAACACACCAGTTCGGTTCCATGGCATCAACGTATTCATATCTTTATTTAGAATAAATAACATGTTTCATGTAAATGTAGGCGTGGCATACTGCAGTTGTAATTTGTAGTTTATATCTTTATATAGACAACTAACTATTTCATATTTCAGAAAGATTTGATTTGTAAAGTATGTTTGACTCAAATATATCGTTATTCCTTTATAATATATAAGT